GCAAAGATGGAACTATAAAAAGCAAATAAGTAATTACGAGGGAGAGCACACATACAAAGGACATAAACCAGCTTGCTAGTAACCTTTACCAACAAGAATAAAATGCACTGTTAAATTAATGGCAATTGTTCATGAGCTGTCAGTTTTCTCGGGAGTATCTAGTAGAACATACCAGGAATTAAGAAACAGAGCATTTTCATCTTTTGCCTAATGAGGAATAATGAGAGAGTGTGTAATCATCTAATTTCTAGCAAACAACCACACTATTCTCGTTAACAGGAGGAGATGTACAAAATATCCCCAGAGGAAAGAGAGCATCTTGCCACTTATACTGCTTAATGTCAATAACACCATCAACTTGCATAGAATTACTCTCAATTTACTCCTAGTTTCAGTTTAGGAAGGAGATACAGACCCAAAGAGAGTAGGATTTACTTACTAGTAAATATTATTCTGAAAAATGAGAGGATGTACCCACCAGTTTTATTCTGAGTTGATGCCATATGCTCTTCATCTCATTTAAAATGAATAACCAGAAACCTGTCTGTTCCCATAGGCAAAGATTCTCCCTTCAGCTGAGTTCCWGTTAGTAAGTAGTCAAATTCACTTCCCTGAGCCCCACAGTCCTACCTCACATGCGTTGCTGGACATGAATAAAACCCTCTGTCTTAAGCACAGGATGTGTGTACTGTGGGAAATCAGCAAGAGGAAATCCAGCTCTTCTGTCTGTGTTGGTTCTGTATAACTTTTCTACAAGATGTGTCTCAGARCAAAACTTATTCCCTAGCTCTAAAACTCAACAACTCTTAGTAATGAGTTTGAAAAAAGGTTTCTTTCCAAATGAGTCATAAAACTCCTTTTCCTTTGTCAAAAAAAAAGTAATTTGTACTGATATTTACATAGGAGAATAGATATGTTTCTAGAGAAGTAATCCCAGATGTYCATATATTCACACTACCCTGTTGCATTCCAACTAAAAGTATTTATAAGCATGTCTTGCAGGCAGGTACTGTTGAGGTAAGTGGAAGGAGAGTKGTTCATGAAAACAGGAGTGAAATATCAATAGCATTTCAAGGATGTATCCTGAAGGTTGTAAATGCTTATTGGGGAAATAATAACATTAAGTGCTATTAAGTCTCTATGCTTATGCATACAGGAGAGATGTTACCCTTTTGTGCATCTTGTGTTTATTAAATGGTTTTCAGCTACTTTCTGATGATAAAGATTTGTATTCTGCAGGTAAAAGCTGAATTCGTAGAGATGTCACGTAATCAGATTCTGTTTTGTATTCCTATTTCAAATATGCTTGAATTACTTTTTATTTTACACTTCGAAAAATCTTTCAGACAATACCTCATTTGAAACTAGGCTTCTTGAACTGAGAATTTCAAARTATTGTTTTCATTGACATTTTACTTCTGTGAGTGAAATAAGTTTCAAATTAGAAAACCCACAACATCAGAAAAAAAGCTAGTCTTAGTACCTGGGATTCTGACAGTATGTTTTGTATTGTTGCTGTTGTAAAAAAAATAAGAACAGTACTCAGATCCTGTAGAGAGCTTTCCATTTTTAAAAGCAAAAGGAAATAAATAAACCTAATTAATGAATTGTCCAGCTGATACCTTGTTATTATCCTCATTTTAAAATTAAAAAAATAAAGAAAGAAATTGAATCCAGGGTGTGTTTCCCCATTTTCTTAAACAGTAAGTGACTTCTGCAGCCAGTGCAGTTTGTAGGAACTAAAAGCAGATGAGAACTTGCACACCTGATGCACCCATGRTGGAATTCAGATCCTTCCCTTCCTATGGGGCTGCCCTTACCCAGCCACCATTTCTTCAGAGAACTGAGATTGGTTGTGGTAAGCTGCACTCTCATGTTTGTGTGAGACAGAAGGAGACCCTCCTTTTCCTTCAGAGCTGATAATTTCATGAGTGAGTGAGTGTTTATTCTGAGTACCCTCTGTAGGATTTGAGTAGTGCACAAAAGCTCCAGTCCTGCACTTTAGGAGGTCTGGTACCACTTCACAGCCTGAGTAGGTGCCATCCTGAAGTCCTGAGCATTGAAAGTGAGGCCAGCTATGGCTTGGAGCATCTCAAGATTTCTTACCAACTTCCTGCCACTATTATTAGGATATGCAGGAATGGAAATACTAAATAAACTATATAAACTCCCCTTGTCATTTGCTTTACTAGATCCTGATTGCCAGTTGTAATTTCTGAGTCCCTGTGTAATGTATGCTAGGAAGCTTCAATCAGCTGGATATCCACAGAGTGACTTGAGTTGTCTCTGTGCTCAGTCTGCTGCAAGGTACCTCAGCCATTCCCTTTCATCAGACAGTGTTCCTTGACCTAACAGGCTTTGAAATCTGTAGAGTTTTKTCTTTCAGAATCTGTCTGTGCCATAATTTGGATTTTTTAGTACTGTATGCTTTTTGAACTCCCAAATTCCTCATTATTCTTCTATTACTAGTGAAGCAACCTTRATTTAACTGGGCTACTTTTAATAATGCCCATATTGCATGGAAATCTAACACAGAAACTTACTTTCTTAGTCTTTCATGTGAATAATTGCATGCCTTAAAGCCATTATGTGGTAGTAAAATTAACTTTCGTAATTAATTAATCCCATGAAAGGACAGAATAACTCTGTCTATTTACAATAGTCTGAAAAGGGAAGGGAAAGTTATTCTGGTTTTATTGACATAGAGGTACATGTGATAGAAGTGGGAGAGAGCTTCTCTCCCACTGGCAGTTATTTWAAAAAAACAGGTTATAAGGTTAATTGTTTCAAAATCTAATAGATACTCATAAATAATTACCAGAACAATTATCTTTGTAGTTTGTGTGCTCATGTCTCAARTCATCTACAATATGTGTAAAAAATAATTTGATTTTCTTTAAAATCCTACTTAATTTTCTGTAATGATAAAGAGGCCACCATCTTTCTTCCAAGTGCTGCTTTTCAGACTGTCCTTTATTTGGAAATGGCTCTGCTTTTTCACCACTTTCTGCTCCCTTGTTGCCATATACTACTGTCAGCGACCTCATTTGTAAAGGCTAATGACCATCACCTCAGGCCAGAGAAGCTGTAGTAGTTTCTTTTGTCTTGCTAAGAACATTTTTGTACTCAGACTGCCAGCAAAAAAAGGCCAGACCATATTTCATGTTGTATTCTCTCAAATGACACAAACCCAGCCTAGACGAGATTTTTTTTTTTAAACTTAGTTATTAATTTTCCACATTGTCCACATGGAAGTTTTGACTATTCAGTCTAAAATATGGTTATCTTTATGCAATTTAACATCTTTGGGTTAACATCTAGATAGAGAATCTTCAAAAGCTTAATTGGTTTGCTCTGGCCTGCAATAACAATATATTATGACAACTACATAGTTAACTTAAGTATATAAATCAGTTTTTTCCTTACACAGTAGTAGTTAGAATACATGTAGATATTTTAAGGATATTTGTGTATTGTTCAAATTTACATCGCATCAAGCTGAAGCTGAACAAAGACAAAATTATTCTGTAGATAGAAAACATTATGAGAAAAATGTGTGTTTAATATTCTTGAGCATCCACTATCATTTGCATTGTAACTAGATTATGTCATTTCTAGAATAGGAAGCCACTGTTTTTTACTAATATGAGTTAAAATTAAAGCATTAATGCACTTTTTTGTTCMGGTAAATAAAGACAGCAGAAATTACTTTGTTCTCATGTGCAAGAACAAATAAATCCTTTCTAATCTGTAATCARATAAAAACTTGAATGGTTTGTTTTTATCTTAAATGCTTCTTACAGAGAATTCTAATATGTTTTAAAGAACAGCACTAAGGTAGTGAAAACCTTAAGCAGAGGTAGATTTCTTTGCGGTGACCAGATGGAGGAAAGAACAAAATCAGATCTTATGAATAAAGTTAATTTACATTTGTAGCTGCATTTTAAAAATCCTGCAAATTCAGGTGTCTGAGAGACTTTAGGGTAAGAGGAAACAGTCTCAGACTGAATCAGGGGAGGTTTAGATTAAATATTAGGGAAAATTGCTTTATGGAAAGGATTGTCAAGCATTGGAACAGGGAAATGGTTGAGCCACCATCCCTGGAACTATTTAAAGATGTGTGGAGATGCTATGGCATCTGATTTTTTTTCATGGTATGTACTAAGTAGTAGTCATCTCCAAAAATTTCCTGTGAACATTTAGCAGTGTTCCTAAGAAAGTGAGTCTATCATTGCTCAAGCACCAGAGATATCTCTTATTTAAATATTTGATAGCAACTTATAAAGAAGATTTAACTGGGAAAGGGCTAGAGTTCAAAAATTTTTTCGTTATTTTATTGCCATAAGTCTTTACTTCCTGAACCATAGTGCAGGGATGGGTGTGACACATACCAGTGCTGACCACACAGACCAAAAACGATAAGGGAAATTAAAATTCTTTTAGCTGCTACACCCAACCTCTTTAAAAGTGCACTGAAGCTTTAGTGATATTTAGAGAAATAGAGAAAGTGTTATAAGAAACTGTGGCTCTTGGAAGAGGTCTGATTTYTCCTGGTCCTAGTCATCAGTTAGCTTCATAGTGGCTGCTGGATTTTAAATACCACCTTACTTTAAAAGTTTTCAGATGGAAACCGTACAACCATTTTCCTGTAGAGTATGAGATATTTATATTTTTCTCTTTCAAAAAATTTCACTAGGGGAGCTTTCTGTTAATGCAAATGATGATCATAGCCTAGAGAAGGTTTCTGCTGTGAGGTAAATTTTTTTCATTTAACTTTTTCCTTGCCTACCAGGTGAAACAAGTTGACCGACCTCCATGTAAAATCGACAAACACTGCTTAAGCCTACATGCTTCCCCTTAAAAAACAAGCAGAAAACTATTGACTATAAGTTCCAATGCATGCAAATATAGCATATCTGTGCCTCATATAATGGAATTGCTGAGCCCTGCCATGTGGAATAATCAGCTTAATCAAACTKCTTGCATTGCTCTTTCCACAGATCTGTACCCCAGATTTGGTGGTGTTTCTGGCATGTTCCAGTCAAAGGCTGAAAGAGAGGTTACTGAAGCGTGCAGAACAGCAAGGGAGACCTGATGATAACCTGAAAGCCACTCAGAGRAGACTAATGAATTTCAAACAGAATGCAGTCCCACTGGTCAAATATTTCCAGGAAAAAGGGCTGATCATCACAGTAAGTACTTCAGTAGATACCTCTGAAACCTTAATTGTTGTGGCTATACTTGACTTCTTATGCCTTTGGCTTYAAGACAGGCTAGACAAGTCAAATTCTGTTTTAGATTAATAGCATGGCTACTTACATGCTTAATGCAGACAATGAATTCACTGAGCAGTTGAATTATTGGCATGTTCTAAATTACAGACTCTGTCTGGTTGTAATGCCACAGAACTTGGAACCACATATGGTTTGAGAGCACAGATGGCCTGTGCTGTTCCTTTTGATAGCCTAAGTAACCTATGTAGGTCACGTTGGTATGGTCTCCTCACAGCAAGTGTGACTAATTCTGCTTGCTGGTCAGACTCCTGACAGGTCCAAGCATCCTTATTTGCAAAATCATCTATTGATTTTAGTAGCCTTAATGATGYACTTCAGCATCTTTCTGAATTTCAAAATGAAAATCCCATGAAATCATTACATTAACTTCTCCAGAGGGTATGTGTTCCGGTTTAGGATTTTGATTAATTCTGTTTTTAAGGGTAAGAGGATTAGGATTCTTTCAAGCTTTTCTTTWTTATTGACAAAGTTTGTATTTTGTGATGTTTCTCTAGCCTTTACAAGTGCTTCTGCTATAAAAAAACATACTTAGTTCGTCAGGAGAAATGTGCCTTTGTGCATAAAGCACATGGGGCGTCTGGATAGAATTGTATTTTTGTCATGGGACCTGCAGAACAGAAGATTTCTTTTTCTTATTGAGATTTCTTCTACTTTTTAATTCTGTTTCTTGAGAGTTCTAAAGATAATTTAAATTTCAATGTTCACCTTAGATATCCTCTTTTCTTTTTGAAGAAAGCAGATGTTTATGATGGGTATGGAAGTGACAACATGGCATATGAACATTAAATTACKCTACTAGAGCACAAAGGAAATAGCATCTACAGAAAATATTGCACTTATTCATGCTATTTCCCTGTGGAAGGAGGAAGAAAGGAAGAAAATAGCATTCATCCTGCTGCTTATAATGCTGAACCTAGAAGATACTGAAATACTATGCAGATGAGAGCAGGGTAAGAACTAGAACAGCATAAAATAGAATTAGAGTAGCCTAATTCCTACAGGAGTGACTCCTTGAGGCAAGGTCAGACAAGGTCAACATTGACTAGGAGGAAATAAAAAGATTTACATTTTTCTTAAATCCCTACCTGCACCTTGTCACTGCTATTCAGAGCTCTAAATCTCAGACATTTCTAGCCATCATCACAATTCTACTCAGGGGAAAGAGACCRGATCATTTGTCTTATGGAAAGTTATAATTTTAGAATCACAACTCTTATTTTATATATCTGCCTAATAAATACATCATTCCTTATCAATAATAGACCAAATGAGAAAAGAAAAATTCACTGAAATGTAACTRAATGTGATTTATAAGCAGACATTATATACATATATATAATTATAATCTGCCATTTGACACTTTATGAGCAAGAAATAAAAAGCTAAATTCCCAAAGAAGATTTTCATGCTTCAACCATTATTTCATACTRCTGTTAACATACTTTGGTTTATAGAATTAAAAGCCACATTCTTCATTTCAGATCTTATTCGCTAGGTTCCTTAGCTGTATGTCTTTCCCTTCACCTTTTTTTTTCACATGATCTTTGATAATTTTCTACAAAACAGGGTGTACTTGTTTGGTGTTCTGTATGCCTAATGTTCTCAGTGTGTGCATGGTGTACCTCCTCTCACAGTCTGATCCYGTTCTCTGTTTTTAAGGAGCGATGTTAGGCGCCCACCTACAGTACTTCTAAGAAATAGGGAGATACAACTTGGTCCTTTCTGAAAAACTCCCTCTTTGGAATAATGATTTGTAAAGTTCATTATAATTAACACAARTAAATAGCTGATATTTTCATGAACACACAGTCTGTGTTTAAAATTCATTTCAGCAATCTGTCAGTAGTTTAATAAATCAGAACCTGACTTAAATTTAGATTCAGAAGGTATCAAGACTATAATAACACAATATTGGACAGGGAGTATGTAAATAGATACATATGCTGCCATTTATTGTTTCAGTAACTTCTAACAAATATTAAAACATTAGGTATTGTTTACCCAGACAATAGCTAGCACACAGATTACTTGGTGGTGTTGGGGAGGTGTTAGTTAGATTAAATTATAAGAGGGGGAGCATGTAAGTACCCAGGTGACCTCAAGTGCTCTAATGTTTARCAGAGAACTTCAGTTCCAGACCAGATTTCCAAATCCCCAGTTTATGTGAACTGTAATCCACTGAAGGTAATGGTATTTTGTTGGAGATGAGATCATTGGGTTACAAAAATCTTTTGCTCAACAGTTGTTAAAGCTGCTCTCAGAGAGCATAGCTGTTTCTTGTAGAACATACCCCTTGGTCTAGACAGAAAAAAGTTTACAGAGCACATCATCATAGCAGTGGAAGTTTCTTGTACTGGAGGCAGGATTTGGTCCATTCTGCCTTATTGACAATGATTCTATATCATCTTAGAGCTGCAGTGTCAGCCTTCTTACGTTAATATGTCTGTATGCATTTAAAGGGCAAAAAACTGCTATGCTGAAACAAAAATATTAAACATTAGAAGAAGGGTCTGGTCCTTATTTAAACAGCCAGAACAGGACAGTATCCATTCCATTCCATGAAATGCGTATTTCTCTGATATCTTCATTGTTCCACTTGTCCTTTTAGGGAATTTACYATGCTTATGAAAACATTAAAATGACATTCAGATTAGTCAGAAGTAAGGAGAACCCAGAAAAAGTAGTTGAAGCTGGAAATGGATTTTGAGCACAAATTTAGACAAACAGTTGCGGGTGAAGGAAGTAGCTGTCTGCCCTCATAAGCATCAAACGAGCCTAATGGCTGTCAACTGTCACAGAAAAATTCCCCACGGAACTGTGTTACATAAATTTTTCTCTTGTTTTTGTTTAAAAAGGAGTTCTGCTATGGAACCTGCACATTGACATGGCCTTTATCCAAGGRCTATGACTTACCAAATGCTGGCAAAAATATTGGGAATAATTTATTTCTAAAGTTTCTGTGTTATCATACAACTGCCCAACTTGGGGTGTTTGTTTCAGTTTTTTATTTGTTTACTTCTGAATGCTGATCCTAAAAGACCTGCATTTACTCATTCTTTCTTTAATTTTGAACTGTTCCCGAAGAAATGTGGGTCCTGAAGTCCTTTTAGCAACTCTTAAGGTCTATTCAAATCTCATGGCTAGTAAACTATTATGGAAAGGCTTCATAGGAACCCACACCCTGCTTCCAGGTCCTAATGACACTAAGTGCCTAAAGGCACTGCAGGCATGTCTCCCAATCCAGAATCCAGCTCAGAGAATCTTCTCCTCAGCAGAGGAACTTGCATCTCTTTTGGCAGAACATGGGATAAGTAGATGCCTTTGTTTTCATAGTGCTGATACTTGCTCGCATCCATGCCGTTTTTGCATTAAAGAATCATTAAAAGGAAAATTTGAAAAATCCCACTCCTCCTTCCCTGAAGTGATGCTAGGAATAGGGACTGTTAGCCACCACCTCCCCCGTGTGCTCTCACTCCCTGCTGCAGGCTCAGAATCTCATTTACGTGCCATCTGATGCCTGGATCTTGCGTCCTTGGCTGCAAAGTGATACCRACTTGGCAGGAATGGTTTCCCTCAAATGGAGCCTCATTGGTGTCTGAGCATGGCCTTCACCCCACAGCTCATGGATGTGGATTTGAACTTGCTTTGTGTTCTGGGGGGTACTGAGMTGAGATTTCCTGTTGATTGGCCCAATGCCACCAAAATATTTTCAGATGCCTCAGTTGTTTTAAAAATACAGCAGCCATAAAGCAAAGCCTTTTAGGAGCATTAGATGTGTTTTTAACCTGACTACTACACAGGATCTTCAGGGTACTTCTGGCTTCTTGGGCAGAAAGAAAAGCTRTCTCCTGTAGAACTGCTGAACTAGAGAAATTTTATGCATTTTCTAATCATTTTAGGTTTTACACTGCATCTTAAYACTACCAGTTCTCTCACTGTTTTGTGAGATTCTGAAGAACATACGAAAGAAGGTAAATTAATTCATAAATGCATTTTATCTAAAATGAGTTGTAAACAAACTGTTTGTAAATATATGCACATTTTTATMTGGAAAGGATAGATGAGTAATTTGTGCATATATGGAAGCATGTGCACCACAAACACTTCCAAGCTTCAAAATATTTTAAGCCTCCCATTTTATGATTTATGTCAACAAGTATATCAGAAATACCAATGTCTGCCAGAGAATGACCAAGGATGGAAACTTGCCATCTGCGTACACAGAAGCATGCAGAGAAACCTTGAGGGTAGAAATTCTTTGCTAAGGTGAATAGTATCAGTGCAACACTATGTTCTTTTCTAACTTTGGAAGTATGATAATTTAAATAGATACCAGCTTTTTGAATGCTGCCATGCCTATTGTACACCCAGTGGCTTGAATGAAGTAGATGAGCTTGAAAAACGAAATAAACTTTGACCAGTCTGGCTATAAAATAGGCAGTGATGAGTGCATGGGCCAAGCTGAGCTCCAGAAAGAGAGAGGGAATGCTGGTTTTGACAGCCATACTATCCCAGATTTTATYCATTTCTGGCACTGTGAAAGCTGATACATGTTTAAAATTAACAGAGGGTTTTTTACAGATCTGAAACTAAAGCTGAGATAAGTAATTAAGCCAAGCTATCATGCAGAGGAATGAACTGTAAGAGATGTTTAAAATAACATGTCCTAAATACTCCTCAAGTCATTTCAAACAGTTCATCTTAAGGTAATTAAGCTGTGTCCTTTGGGTGAATAGCAGCGTCTAATTTAGTTCTTGTAGTTAAAGTGAAGCTTAAAGAGGATTAATTTTTCTTATTTAGATGAGATATATTAAGAAACCAGCTTGGAAAAAATATCTCATCTCTGGGAAGACCTTTGGTATTGAACCAGGAATATTTGTCATCTGTAAGCAAATTTT